AATAGGAATAATAATCCATGTCAAGCTAGGAAAGGAAGCATCTGTTAAAACCCCTCTAGCTCTTCTGTTGCTCTAGCATGAGAGAAATATATACATCCATTATCATGGGCTCATTTTCATCTCTCAAGTCATACAGGACTTTGTTTACGTCTGTGAAAACTTTAAAACCTAATGAGTTGATTATGGATAAGAAAGATTATATGATCAATTATATTTAATTTTTTTTTAAATTTCAGTTGTTTTTCTAAATCTAAGAAAAATGGCAAAGAAAAGCCATTGCTGTTTGCACTTCCAGTCAATTTCCTTCCCAAAAGGCTGCTGTCTTGTGAAATTGATTTAACCCCAACTTGTTTTGAGTGTTAAGGTGTGGAGAGGCAAAGAGACATTTTTGGACAATTGCTTGAAGTAGGCATGAAAAGGAATTTGGACAATTTTCTATTGCCATATAAGCATATGTCATGGAGGAAATGTCAGCTAAAGTTTCCTGTAGAGAAAAATCAGTAATGCGCATCTCTAGATGGGTCTGAGAGTCCACATTTACCACTCAAAAATAAGTCGGGGAGGCCAGTGCTCACGAGCCTTAGCCAAGTAAGGCGTTCCTATCCAATCTGTTGTTTCATGAAATCAAAATCCTAAGGATGATTATCATTTTTTATCATTTTAAGAAACAGATTCAACAACCAGCAAAATGAACTAAGTCAGCTCAAATTTGGTCCTGAGATCAAATCTGAGGTCAGATTTTGATATTTGGAGGTACATCCCTGTTGTTGCCGTCCTTTTAATTATTAAGCATGTTGTGTTAAATTGGGTACAAATGCTTTGGACTCACGCCAGTTCTCTATGCCTTGGTAATCTAAGAATGACAAATTTACATGAACACAAGGCACAGTGTGTATTATTTCTGATCTAGTATGTACATGACCAAACAATTCAAGAAAATGAAGTTCCGAAATAATGAGAATGGTAATTATTTCATGGGTATGGAGTTTCACTTTCACAAGATGGAAAGCGTTCTGGAGACTGGTGGCTGCACCATAATGTGAATGTATTTAATGCTACTGAATTGTACATGTAAAAATGCTTAAGGTGGCAAATTTTATATCTTGCATATTTTACCATTTTACATTTAAAAAAATAGAATGAGTTCTTTCACAACTACTAGCCTAATAAAGTCCATGAATATGCCCCTCTCCCTCCATGTGTACAACCAATCATGGGAGTCCATCAAATCCAAGTCTATCGCTAGGCTTACCTTGCACTAAACTTGAAAATCATCTTTAAACTTCATTCCCAACCTCCTACCACCTGAACTACATTGCCCTGACATTTTAGGTTGCCTGCTAATCAGGGGTGAAGCTACCTTTCATCTAGATCAGTTAAGAATCTCTCTTTCTTTAGGAAATTCTTACTGTTTTATGTGACGTCAGCGGGTTATTGCTGAGAAAGAAAAAGAGAGAGCGGGAGAGAAGAGAGTTCATGAACTGCTGGAGGACATGCCTGGTGATTCAGACTTCCTTCTTTCTTTCCTGAGTTTAGGCTTACCCAAGATAGAAACCTCACTAAAAAGTTTACGTCTCCCACAGAGTTTACACTGCCCTGGGAAACCGAGCTGTGTGTTTCTAACCCAGAGAAGATAGAAGAAACACAAACAGGTAAGAAAATTGGGCTCTTTTGCTGATGGCCTTACTCTGATTTTTCTCAAGTTCTAATCCCTCTATTTTATGGCGACGTGCTTTATAAAACCCACTCACATCTATTATCTTGTTAAGTCTCTACCACAATTCTGAGATAGATATTGTCTTTATCACATAGGTAAGTATTTTACATTCAGAAGAATTCCTTGCCTGAATTCAAACAGCTAGAAAGTGGCATAGAATCTACCTCTTATCTTTTAATTCCAAATCCACTTTACTTTCCACTCTGCCTGGAGTAACACCTGCTGATTTAGTCTTTGTTTAACTTTTCCCAACAGGTACAAAAGTGTCTGATCTTTAGTGTTGGTCATTTATTTGCCATAATGGAAAAATGTCTCCACTGACAAAAATGATGGCTATATCTAAACCGATAAAATGATTGCTGGACCTAATCCACCATTTGCTGTATCTAGGTAAGTGCTCACTTGACATACCATGAACAAAAGGTGATTTATTATAAGCACTCAGGGGAGATTTTCCAGACCTTATCAAGGCAAGCATTGCAGCTGGGTCTGGCTTTGACCTGGATCTGGAACTGGAAAGCATGAGGAATTGAAGTTACCTGTCCTGACTCCTGACTCTGCTTCTCGGGCCACAGCTGTTCAGTTTTCCAAATTCTGTCCACACCTATGCTCCCCAGCTCCCACGATGACAGCTCAAATACGCAACTGCAGTCCCAACACCAACCTACAAATCTAGTGTTCTCAAATAGGGGGCCCAGGTGTTCAGATTCTCAATTTCCAAGAGAAAGAAATGGAGGGAATGGAAATCCAGAGAATCAGCTCAGGTCAATACTCTACTACTGATTTTGCGTGTATCCGCTAATGATCAGAGTGAACGATCATTTTGGCAAGTGAATGAAATGAGCACAGGTAAGAAAATTGGGCTCTGTGCTACTGGCCTACTTCAGCATCTATGTATCACTTTAGATCACAGCACGGCTTGCACTTAAAAAATAAAATAAAAAATCCGATGACTTGCTGTTACAGATGATGCTGTAATGAACATCAGGAAAATGCAATTTAAAGTGAAACTCCAATTAACAGTCATCCAATCGGCAAAAATTGAGAAGTCTAAAAATATCAAGCAGGCAAGGAGATGGGAAAATAGAAATCTTAAATTTTGGTGTACCCATAGTAGCAGAAAATTTGGTTGTATCTATAAAAGTAGGCACTGTGTTTCAGTACAATTTCAAAATACTGCCAATTATAGTCCCTTGGCAAACTCTTGCTCATGAACTAGAAGAATCCATATAAAATGTCATAGTGGTGCTTCCGGAAGGAAGACAGAACTCTGGAACTGGAGAAAGTAACAAGAGAGACCATCAACGATTACATTTTACATTTTTTATATGTAACATATATATGTTTATATGTACATTACATATGTACATGTTTTTATGTTACATTTATATGTAACATATTTGAAGATAAAAGTCATAAAATATTAACATTCATTAACTCTGGCCAGAGAACACACAATTATTAATGTATCCCCTGTGTATGTCTCTCTTTTGTAAGCTTTATAATAAAAACAAATAGGAAAATAAACAGAGCCCTTTAAAAGTAAGAGAAAAAGTATTTTCTCACATAACCTGCCAATCGCTCCCCAAGGATTGTGCCCACCTGACCAACCTTGGGCTCCACCATTCTCATCCTCATCACCTGAGACGCCAACACAGAAGGGAGCAACATGAGGAAGGAGAATCTGTACGAAATCCATTCTGCTTGCTAAAGTTTGGGAAGCAAGAAGTGGTCTGTCTAGGCCAGGTTCCTGATGGCCTTGGTGCTGACAGGATTTACAGTTGCCATAAAGTAGACTTGCAGGCAGCAGAACCAACTCTTGCATCCAGCCTGTGGCTGGGGAAGAAGCAGTAGCATAGCCAGTTTCCCTATCAGAGAGTTCTGTGGTGTGGTTTTAACTTCTTTTTTTTTTTTTTTTTTTGAAATTTCACTTCAAGTTAGTGCTCTACTTCTCTCAAAATTTTGGGAGCCACTCAGTATCTTTTTGTTAAACTTTTCTACTATAAAGCACAATGTAGATTCATAAAAACACATATTAAATTATAACTTAGTGAATTATTACAAGGATAACTTTTGTAATCACTACTCAGGGTAAGAAGTAGAACTTATCATATACTCTAGAGGCCAATCTCCATCCCTCCTTCTTCCTCAAAAGAAACCCACTAATCTGACTTTTAAAATAATTATTTCCTTGGATTCTTCATAGTTTTGTTACTGGAATGTGCATTCCCAAAATAATATAGTTTACTTATTTTTACAAATATATCTTTTAAATCTTCCTAGCCCCTCCTTTCTCCATCTCCCTCTCTATCTCTCTCTCCCCTCCCCCACTACAATGTGTATGTTATATAACTAATTTCTTTAAGCCTGTTGAGTTTCACAAAACACAGTATGTGCTCTGCTGATTATATCTCCATGGTGTAGATTCACATGCTGCACCATTTCTTGCAGTTCCTATAAATTCAAATTACATATAAAGAATTGGTCATATTCTGATTTGATGACTTTTTTAAGGAATTTCCTTAGAGTTGATACTGTGTTCCTCCATCAGGGGACCCATAGAGTTGTCTTTCATTTTATGAGTTTACCAGCAATTGATTCTCAAAGCCTGTTAGGCTTTGCAAACGGTAATACTCTAATTCACTAATGGCTTCTTCAATTATTAGCTGGAATGCATCTATGAAGAGACATTTCTCCGCAGCTACTCTGGAGTTACTCAGGAAAACAACTCATAAAGAGTAATACTTAGACCTTTTCCTTTGTTTACCAGGCTTCAAAATATGGAGTTGTTTTCCTATCTTCCAAAACTGAACAATTAATTTCTTTATAAAGTAGCATTTTTGAACTCATATATTCAAAAATACCTGATGTCTTCAAACCATTATAGGTAGTAAACTTATTGACATACAAATTGCCACATCTTTAGACACTAGGAGCCTCTTCAAGCTGGCTCTAAGTCCTTTAGCTTTGACCCTGGTAGTCTCTGATAGCTCTGCTCATGTCTGCAGTGACAAGATGTCTCACAATTATCTGCAACAATTTTCACCCAGGCCGCTAGAATCAGACATCACTCCCAAAACGCTTTTGTTTGTTTGTTTCTTTAGGAAGGAAATCATATTTACTAAGTACCATCTGAGCTCCAGGGATGCTCACTGCTGTTATTTTGATCTTTTCAGGGGTTAGAACTAGAACATACAAATATATATATTTTAAAGAGAAAGCATCTCATGATTTCACAATAATTCTTTCAATTCAATTTCAGAATGTCAGGAGTTTGACTTACCCTTGTCTATTGCACATCTGTATCTCACGTCTCCTCCCTGAGAAGCTGGTTTTCAAGATCACTAGGGAAGGAAATTAAAATGTCACATGATTATATACAGTTGACTCTGGAACAATGCAGGGGTTAGGGGCACCGATCCTCCACACAGTTGAAAATCCTAGCATAACTTTTTAATCCCCTAAAACTTAACTACTAATAGCCTACTGTTGACCAGAAGCCTTACCAATAACATAAACAGTCAATTAACACATATTTCGTATATATATTATATACCAGATTCTTACAATAAAGTAAGCTAGAGAAAAGAAAAATGTTATTAAGAACATCATAAGGAAAATACATTTACAGGACTATAAAAAATGTGCATGTAAGTGGACCAGAGAAGTTCAAACCTGTGTTGTTCAAGGGACAACTGTATTTGCTCAAGCCCACATTTTATTCACAACAACCTCAAAATAACAATCCCAATATTAACATAATCAAAGTGATTGTTGAAAGCAGTTGAATATTTTTGCTCATATTTTCTCCCTTCTCTCTCAATTTCTGCTTATTTACATTGTCAGAGCATATAAACATTACATACTATATTCTTTCCTTTATAGTCCCGATTTAGTATTAGTTGTATGAACAAATACACACAATTAACATTTACCCCCAGTCTTTACATCAATGCCTCTGGCTATTTTGTTTACAGCTCACATTCTAGTAAATTCCATAGGAGGAGCTTAGAGGAACAATATTTCCTGAACTCTTGCATACAGGTAAGAGTTTGCCTGTGAAAAAATAAATAAATTAATTAAAAAAAAAAAAAAAAGAGTTTGCCTGTGGTCTTTATACGGGAAAGTCAGCTTGCCTTGATTTAATCATTGGTTCACATTTACTTTACATGAATATCTTGAATGTGATACTCCAATTACCTTGGTATAAAGTTTTGCTATTTAAAAGCTGGTGACAATCTGAGTTTCTTTCCCTTATAAGTAACTGGGCATTCTTTCTGGATGTTTAATAATTTTCCTTTTTCTTTACTGTGCTATAGTTTTACTAGAATATATCTAGGGTATTGGTTGTTCTGGGTCAGTTTTCTCAAGTAGTAATGTATCCTCTCAAACTGTAATTTTAAATTTTTTCTTTTTAAATTTTAGGTGTTTTTTTTTTTTCAATTATAGTTACTGTAACAGTTACTAAATATAAGTGTTCTGTTTTCTTCCATTCTGGGGACAGTGAGAGTTGGAGGACTACTATAATACACACTTTGGGATATTTTTGGCTTATCTTTTTTCTCTCAAATATTTTTATTACATCTTTATTTTCACTTTCTACTTTTTTTTTTTTTAAGATTTTATTTATTTCAGAGAGAGGGAGCATACCTGCTCGAGGGCATGAGCAGGGGGAGGAGCAGAGGGAGAGGGCGAAGCAGACTCCCCACTGAATGTAGAACCCTATGCACCGCTCAAACCCAGGACCCTGAGATCATGACCTGAGCCAAAGTCAGACATCTTTTTGTGGACATGTCTTTATGGCATGCTTTATATTGGCTGGGGATGCTAGTCTTCTCCTTGAAAGAGGATGTCAACTACCTCCATTTTGACCTCAGTCTGTACTTTCTTTTTTTTTTTAAGATTTTATTTTATTTATTTGAGAGAGAGAAAGAGTGCACAAGCAAGGGGGAGGGGCAGAGGGAGAGGGAGAAGCAGACTCCCTGCTGAGCAGAGAGCCCAATGGGGGGCTCGATTCCAGGACGCTGAGATCATGACCTGAGCTGAAGGCAGACGCTTAACCAACTGAGCCACCCAGGTGCCCCCTCAGTCTGTACTTTCTAATTAAGTTCTTCTTTCCAGCTTCTCTCTTAACTTAGGCAAAAGACCCTGAAGGCAAATCATCCCCAGATAGAAACCAAAACTAACCTCTCAAGAAATAGGGATTGCCCTGATGCCAGCCAGACCGTGCAGGACTGACCCCAAGACAATGTTGGATCTGACCTTTACTGCCCACCTGCACATACCCATCGACCTTTGTCCCACATTTTCCTTATATAAACCTAGAAGTATTTTTGGCGCTTGGAAGACAGTCTTTGAGATGTTAGTCCACTGTTTCCCCAGTGGTGGTCTCACTGAAATAAATTCCTCTCTTGTTTCACCACCCTTTTGGATTTCTCTGCCTTTGGATTTTGTCAGTGGTGAGTGGCCGAACCTGGTCTGTTTGGGAGCCCCGGAGGCGGGCACTCTTCACACCCCTGTGCCCTGGCTGCAGCCTCTTCTTTTAATAACACTGCAAGGAGGGCACCTGGGTGGCAGATGGTTAAGCGTCTGCCCTCGGCTCAGGTCATGATCCAGGGTGCTGGGATCGAGTCCCGCATCGGGCTCCTTGCTTAGCAGGGAGCCTGCTTCTCCCTCTGCCTGGCACTCCTGCTTGTACTCTCCCTCTCTCTCTCTCTCTCTCTCTCTGGCAAATAAATAAATGAAATCTTTAAATAAATAAATAAATAACACTGCAAGGAATTTGACCTCTATCCTTTTTGTTGCTCTTTTTATGTGAACCTAGTTTTCTTGAACTACAGTGAAAAGCTTGGTCTGGATAGCATTTCAAAACTCACAGCTGCATAAAATGCCCTTCGGTGACGTTTTCCCAAAGTGTCACAAAATACGGCAGCCTCCATGTTGACTTGGTTCACCTCCCCAAATTTGACCTAGACGTTCTCTCCCACTTTGTCTCCATTTTCCCTGTGGGACTCAATTTAAATTCGATTCCCATGAGTTTATCTTAGCGTGGGGCTTTGTCCTGGAAGGGGGCTTCCACCGGTTCGTTCCGAGAACTCAGAGGGCAGAAACGATGCAAGCCCCTCCCGACATTTCCAAAGACTCCTAGCTTTTATTCCCTATCAAGTGTGCAGAGGTTCTCTCAATTTCGGCTACTATTCTCAAACGGACCCTCTTAGCACTTCAGTGAGGATCCGATGGCTATTTGAGGATTTTTCTGGGCTGTAGCTGCCCCAGTGCTTCTTCTACCCAGATACTGACAACAGGCATGCCTCGTAGCTGTCATTGATTTGTCTCCATCTATTCAAATTTGGAAATTGATGACGGTCTGTATGTTCTCTGTGGATTTTTGATCTGCTAATCAAGTTTGTCTGTGGGTTTTGATAAGGAGAGGAATTTGAGGAGATTCAAAATTGATACTGCTGTTATTATCTTGTTATAACCCAAGAATCCTACATGAATCTTTTTAAGTAAGTTTATTGAGGTATAGCAATTTCTACAGTATCCCAGTCTATAATTTTCGACAAATGTATAAGGTTATGTAGCCACCACCACAGTGGAAACACAGAACAGATTCATCACTTCCAACAATCCCTTCACAAGTACACCCCTTTTTGTGTCCTCTTCCCCAGAACTCCAGCCCTTTGCAACCACTGAGCTGTTTTCTGCCCCTATGGTTTATTTAGCCTTCTGAGTCTGGATTCTTACACAGAGTATAAGGCAACTGAAACCCACCCCCCGTTTTTGTTGGTACTGAATCCTGTGTCTTAGAGGGTGGGGCTTTCTCAGAGATCCGGTCCCTTCTGTAGTGTTTTGAGACCTTAGTCTGCATCCAAAGCCATCTCCAACTCTTCCCCAGTAGTTAGGATGCCTTCCTTACACTCTGGCCCCAGGCGTAATAAAATTTCACCTGTGCGCCCATGGGGGGCGGGGCATGTTGGTACAGGTGTGCTGCCCTTCCCCCAGCAGCTTAAGGCTTTTTTCCCCCAGGGCAAAGGAGCCAAGTGGACTTCTGCTCGGAGGCTTTGTCTTCAGTGTTGCTGCTGAGTACCAGTGACTTCCAGAAAAGCCTGAAGGCAGGTGTGAATTTTCCTCAGGGGTTAACATCCCAGGGATACCATACACTCATGCTAGCCCACACTCTGCCGTTATCTATTTGAAAACCTTTTTACCTTCTTACAACAGGTGTGGAGGTCTTGTCTTCTTCCCACTGTCACAGTAGAAATGGTGCTCACATCCTCCTTGTCCTTGGCGGGGCACATCTTAAGATTTCAGGCTAGTTGGCTGCACTGCAACCTCAGCTCTTTCATGGGTTCAAGGAAAGTTATAATTTTGTACATTATCTGGCTTTTCTTGTGATTAGTTGGAGGCCATGCTCTTTCCAGCTTTCTCTACCTTAGGTGGAAGCCAGAGTTGGCAGTATGTTTTCAATACATCTCTTTTCTGCTTTATCAGCCAGAGTCAACTCCTTGGGGACATAGCTAAGAGTCATGATAAATGAAATGGAAAAATGTAAAAGATCATCAAAATGCACTGCAGTTGAATTTAAGTTCAGTTCAATCTGATGTGGTTGACATTAAAAATAACTTAGAAACTATTACACCCCTTACCCTATCCACATTTTGTGATGTTTCACAATTATCTAAGAATGTCTCACAAACTCTGACTTCTTGCAGATTTACTACCTATATGGGTCAATACAATCTGAGTAAATCAACTTCTCAGCAAGAACATCTTTTGTTTCCTTACAAAGAAAGAAGGAAACTACTACAGCAATTCGTAATTATAACACAGCACAACCAAATTCAACCTTACTAAAAACCTTTATTTTAACCTGATTGCCCTACTCTCTACAGTTTACTTGGCCATAAAATTACTTTATCAGAACAGAAATGGGTACAGCACAGTATCTGAGTACACAATTTATTTTGAAGTCTCAGAAAATTGATACTAGTCTCGCTTCTCACATTTCTGATTACATATTTTCTCTTTTCAAAGAGGGGACTTCTATTATTTGACACTTATCTATACCAGACTGCATGAAGAATTGGAACCAAGAACTGGGAGCTCTTCAGGAACCCAGACCTGTCTCTTGGCTCTGCCTCTCTATGCATTTAACTCCTTTTTCTCTGATACTAGCTCTGCTTGCTTCGCTATGCACGTGGTTAAACATGATCACGACTGAGCCTGCAAAGTGGCATTTCCCAGAATCAGGTGGATAACCAGACAGGAACTGAAATCAAGCTCAAAGTTTGTTCTTCTTGAGAGAGGATCTACTTGACTCAGTTTGGGTCAGCAGTTGACCTCTGGTCTACCATCTGTGGCCAAGGTGCCTAGGTCTTGGTTAATGGTGGTACCTTGCAGGGTGGGGGTGGTGGTGGTGTGCAGAGCAGATATACCAAGATGCTTCCTGTACTTTGTGTTGCCTTTGACCATGTTTCTTTGTATCCACTCCTGCATGGATGGCACTCTGACCTTGTAGGAGAACTGATTTGATGATATTAACTAGGTTCAATGGGCTTATTTGGTGTTAATTCTTTTTCCCTATGTAAACAAACAAACAAAAAAATGTGTTTCCATGGAAAACTATGCCTCATCTATAACACACCCTTCTCAGTTATCATGTCCTAGCTGTGTTGATTATCTTCGTTCATTGTTCATCTGTCAAATCTTTGTAAATTGTAGGCACTGGATAGTACTTTTAATTGACTTCCTCCACCCTGTGGAAAATCCAGTTTTGTCTCCATTTGCAATTTATTGCAACATTCCTTTATTCCATGTAAATGTGCGCTCCTTTGACTTTTCCATTGAATAGTTTAAACATTTTCCTAGTGACCTGAGTAAAATATCATCTCATAGGAGTTCAATATTTTATATCCATATGAATCATGATTTTGTCTTTTCCTGAAAATTATCCTGTCACCAATATCACTTTTCTTAGCTCTCTTTTTGCTGAGTCAGACTTACAGTAACTCCAGCATTCTTATTTATCAGAAGGTTCTTTATCTTAAAGAAGATACTACTTTGTGAGGACATGGGTCACAAATCAAGAAATCTTGAATATAATTAGAACTGAAAAAAAAAATCCAAATCCCCTTGTTGCTCCAATCTTTTATAGAAATTGTTGCTAGTGATTTATGCATTCAAAGGCCTTGCAACTTTCACTGATATGTTCTCAGTCCTTAAATGATTCATAACATGTGTTCAATAATGTTTGGTAAATTTAATTATGAATATAAACTTTAAAAGTAGTTTTCTACACATAACTTTAAAAAAAAGAATTGGTTAGTTAAGTCAAAATGTTCAAGCTTAATTTTTGTCATATTAAAATGATATGGGGGAGGGACAAGTAAAAACAAATACAGTGAGTTCAATGAAAAGTAGCTACATAAAGCAACATTAACTGAAAAATAAAAACCAAACTTTGAGAAAAGTCAGAACTACCTAATTCCCTAACACTTAAAGGGACAGGGGTTGGGGGGGGCAGGGAGTGGCAAAGCTTATTTCAAAAAACAAAAACAAAAACAAAACAAACCTTGCTGGTGTTTTCTCACCATTGAAGCAGAGCCGTGAAATTCAAATGGAAAGAATGATCTTGTATTTCTCCTATGAAGAAATGTGAGATAAAAAAGAGAGCAAGGCCCTTTTCTTGTCTGGGTATTTTTGTTAAGTTAAATAATGTCTTTTTGTCCATTCTCGGCTTCTGTAGAGACATTCCATTTTTTTTTTTTTTTCCCTAGTACTATTTTAAATTAAACCCAGAATTTTTTTTCCTCTCCTCTTGGAGAAATCTGTTTAGTTTCTCCCAAGAGAGATGAGCAGGCACTGGAAGTCTGGAAAGGGACCCAAGATGCGAAGCTGGCAGACTATTTGCCTGTCAGTGTAATTTAGTGCTTTGCTCTATCACAGAGATTATGGTTAACTTTACGATGTAAAAATTCCAGAAAAGTGATATATCAGTAAATCAGCAGAGACTTAACATTTTTTGAATATTTATAGTGCTATCACTTTAAACAAAATATTCTCTTTGATTCTAACATTGTCACTACATTAAGAAAGCATCTGTCCCACCTAACTGATTCTGTTAATAAAGAAGAGGAAGAAGAGCAGGAGAAAGACAAAAAGGAGTTAACAGTCTATTTGAAAATTTTTAAACTTCTAAACTGCTTTCAAAAATGACTTGTCTTAGCTGGTGCAACCACTCTGGAAAACAGTATGGAGGTTCCTCAAAAAGTTGAAAATAGAGCTACCATACAATCCAGCAATTGCACTACTGGGTATTTACCCCAAAGATACAAATGTAGGGATCCGAAGGGGTACATGCACCCCAATGTTTATAGCAGCAATGTCCACAATAGCCAAACTGTGGAAAGAGCCAAGATGTCCATCAACAGATGAATGGATAAAGAAGATGTGGTGTATATATATATATATATATATATACATACACAATGGAATATTATGCAGCCATCAAAAGGGATGAGATCTTGCCATTTGCAATGACATGGATGGAACTGGAGAGTGTTATGCTGAGCGAAATAGGTCAATCAGAGACAGACATGTATCATATGACCTCACTGATATGAGGAATTCTTAATCTCAGGAAACAAACTGAGGGTTGCTGGAGTGGGGGGTGGGGCGGGAGGGATGGGGTGGCTGGGTGATAGACATTGGGGAGGGTATGTGCTATGGTGAGCGCTGTGAATTGTGCAAGATTGTTGTTACAAATCAGTAAGAAAAAGACCTTATTAAAATAAACAAGCAAGTTAGAAGAAGAAAAAAAACCTAATAAATTGCCCACACACATGACAATTTTAATATTAGTAATTACAATCTCAATACTATTACCAAATTTTTTTATTTATTATAAAATATATTTTTAAAGAGTTTATTTATTTATTTGACACAGAGAGACACAGTGAGAGAGGGAACACAAGCAGGGGGAGTGGGAGAGGGAGAAGCAGGCTTCCTGCGGAGCAAGGAGCCCGATGTGGGACCGATCCCAGGACCCTGGGATCATGACCTGAGCCGAAGGCAGACGCTTAACGACTGAGCCACCCAGGCGCCCACTCAGCATTATTTAAAATAAGGCTCCAGTCAGCTTCTACTACTAAGCCATTGGAGTTGGCAGGCAAGTTTAAACCTATTTGCAACCACTGACTTAGATTATCAATAATTGATTATATACCACAGAGATCAGAAGCTAGAAGAACCAGTAAATCCAACACCTGACTGGGAAAGAATACGAGTTCTATTTCCTATGTTTTCACAGATTTTTATTGGTTTCACATTGCCTTTGGTTTAAGGTCCATTTGGTGTTCTAACAATTATTACTGATCCCACAGAGGCTCCTGCAGGGGTCTTGGAGGCGTATCCTAGGAAACTTGAAATAGCAAGAACTCAAGGGATGGTAAGTGGGTAAATCTGACAATGCCTGATCAGTCAACATCTATATTTAGCTTCTCAGCGTGGGAGACCACCTCCTCCAAAACCACTCAATTTCAAATTTAGTAGTTTCCTTCTTATGTATTTTTCTTTGAAACTGCAGTCAGACTCTGTCTGATGTTGGCAGATATTGCCACATTAAGTCAGCCTCATATTACCGTTCTGCTGCTAAATTCTCCCTGAATCACTGGGAGCCATAGCACACCGGCTTCTCTCTCATACCGTGAGAAACATGGTTATCTGTGTTGATTCACTGGCACCCCCTTTTGAATCCCTCTTTCTTTTTTTAAAAAAAGACTTATTTACTTGTATGAGAGAGAGAGAGAGCGCGCGCACGTGCACGAGCAGGGGGGAGGGGCAGAGGGAGAGGGAGAAGCAGACTCCCCGCTGAGCAAGGACCCCAATGTGGAGCTTGATGCCAGGCCCCCTGGATCATGACCTGAGCTGAAGGCAGATGCTTAATCCAACTGAGACACCCAGGCACACCCCCCTCTTTCTTCATAGTATTGCATAGCAACTCAACACACAATTATGCTTTTCATCCTCATTTTTCATTCCTAAATATCATGATTCCTACATCTCATACATGTGCATTTTGGCTCATGATGGCTTTCTTTTCCTGTTCATTTTCATGCTCATTTTCCACTCTGCCATTCCCCAACAATTACAGCGAGGTGTTAATCTGTGGGTCAATCATAAGCTGAGGGTAGTGACAGGTATCATCCAAGCTGGATGGTGCCAGTGACTTCAATTATGTATTTTATTGCATAAGACATATGTCACTAGCCTCCTCCCTACAAAATAATTCTGTCATTGGTGTTTCCCTGGAGATTAGTCTCAAGTCCCCTTCTTTTTTTTCTTTTCAATTTTGTAACGTGAGGGGCATCTGGGTGGCTCAGTCACTTAAGCCTCTGCCTTCAGCTCGGGTCATGATCTCATGGTCCTGGGATCGAGCCCCGTAATGGGCTCCCTGCTCAGTGGAGAGTCTGTTTCTTCCTCTGCCTCTTCCCCACCCCCAACCCCATGCTCATTCTCTCTCTCTCTCTCAAATAAATAAATAAAAAATTTGTAACATGAGTATTCAAATCCCCTTCTTACCGCAGCAGTCCTTGAAACCCTAGCACTTTCCTTCTTCCTTTCCATTTTTTTTGTCTTCTGTTCCCTTCCTTCTTCAAAGATTTGTAAATATGTGGAATGTGCTAGAACTGGTACATAGAAGAGACGATAAAGTACTGACTTTCAGGGCTTCTTAGTTCTGTGGAGGAAACAGATACCCAAAAAGTAATTCAACTGAAGCACTATGATAAGCATTATTATAGTAAAACCTTTAAAATGCTCTGTGGAGGCCGAGCAGAAAGAATGCTTACACAAAACCTGGATACATCAGAGAAAACCTTGGTTTCTTCATCTATAATATAATATTAAATTTCTAAAACATCATTTTAGACTCAGGCGTATTTTGTGTGTCTTTCTTCTTAATTCACCTCCAGTCTTCTTTCTCTTTCTCTCTGTATTAACCGTGTCTTTTATTGTCCACATTCTGATGTTTTGATGTCTGGAGCCTCGCTGACCCTGGAGGGACTGCCCCTTCCAAAGGTAGCCAATTCCTAGAGATAAAAAACAATTCAACTGGGTGCCTGGGTGGCTCACTCAGTTAAACATTTGCCTTTGGCTCAGGCCATGATCCCAGGGTCCTGGGATCGAGCCCTGCATCGGGCTCCTTGCTTAGCAGGGAGCCTGTTTCTCCCTCTGCCTGCAGCTCCCCCTTGCTTATGCTCTCTGTCAAATAGATGAATAAAATCTTTTAAAAAAAAAATTTCACCCAAGTGTGCACTTTGCAAATACAAATCAACCCATCCAGAGCCCAACCACCTGCTCTATCAGGCTGTCACACTCTGGGCCACTACTTACCTACCCAAGTCACCCCAGGCTAGGTGCCAGACAATGAAGGACAGCCCTTCCACACTGAAATTATTCAAACTAGCCACTCCTAAACCTGCCTTTCCTGCCGTGCACATCCTCCTGAAGAAACCACAATAAAGGCTCTTGCCCAGTGTTCCCTCTCCTTCCATCTCCTACCTGATGGCGGTACTTCTGTTTGTGGAGCCCCCATGGCCTAGTGTGTTCTTACCTCTTGGGAACTGAGAACAACAAACTGGGACAGCAATTTTCTAATCTATTGGTCCTACTATATCTCAAGTTTTCTACTAAATACATTATATTTTAGGGCGCCTGGGTGGCTCAGTCGGTTAAGCGACTGCCTTCGGCTCAGGTCATGATCCTGGAGTCCCGGGATCGAGTCCCGCATCGGGCTCCCTGCTCAGCGGGGAGTCTGCTTCTCCCTCTCCCGCTCCCCCCTCTTGTGCTCTCTCACTCTCTCTCTCTCAAATAAATAAATAAAATCTTAAAAATAAATAAATAAATAAATAAATAAATAAATAAATAAATAAATAAATAAATACATTATATTTTAAAACACTTTCTCTGTCCCATTCTCCATACCCCTCCTACTTCCTGTCCTCTCCACTTCACTTTTGTTAGTATAGACTGATCTAAAAAAAAAAAAAAAAAAGCATGTTATCAAAAAAATGGCTCTCTTCACACACAAACATGTAATTCTTGTCAACTACTTCCCTTAGAAGAGTATTCTATTCTTTATACTGTTCATTAGAATAATAGAGAAGAAATCATCTCTTTTGCCAAAAACAAGTAAAAAATACTATATATGCTGATAGATGTTTAAACTTGTTTAATTTTAAAAGAGAAATTATATTTGAGCAGCTACTGTTTTAAAACTGAAAACCATAAATGAATCGAAGATCTTAGTCTGTGAAGTTAACTAGATGCACATGAGTGTGAGTGCATGAACACACACACACACACACACACAAAGTAAAGGTGAGTCATAGGTGGATATTACAATTGAGTAAATGTGTTCAATCCCTTTAAATGAAGCAGATACAAAGATGAACTCCTGACTTCCTCCATGGTAGAATTCTCGGTCTGGAAAATCACTGTCTGTTAAGGAAAGAAGAAAATTGAAAACACTCATTCAGCTTCTCTTCTAAGATATTAGCTAAACACACCAAGTGTTTTATGCACAGATAGCTATAAATTGAGATTAAAAAAAAGAAGAAGAAACAAAACACAACAAAACAAAAAACCCACAAAGTAAGAGAACTAAAAGAAGCAGGAAAAAAACTGCCTTCTGCATTACATGCAAAGATCCCCTCTGGATATCCCTGCCTGCTAGTACTGAGAAACAAATACAGTCTAGCAATTCTGGAAAGAACCTATTAAGCCCAGAGAGTGTCTCACTACCCATTGGCATCAAAAGTTCAAGAGCCCTCAAGCCCCTCTAACAGTTCCTTAAAAAGAGCAATGAACTGAGAAAGCTCGACTGGGGCCAAGGATTCCATGGAGGAGAAGGGACCAAAGGCAGACTTGCCCACCCAGTGCCACAGCTCATTAAGGGGTTTTATATTCAGGTGAAGTTAACAGAAAAATACCACCACTCTTCTCATGCGAAATGAAAAGAATGTGAGTGATCAAGCATCATTAAAATAAAAAGAAGCTAAAAATAGGTCTCCACAACCAAACAGCCACTTGCGACCTGAAACGTACATTTGGTCATGTCTTACCGTGTAAAGCACATCAGGCAAAGAGAATTCATTATTGTGAAGTGCCAGTTTTCCGCTTCATCACCAGTCAGGCTGAGCCCTAGCCTGGATCGACAAGTACAAATGAGTTTGATGAGATTCAGTTATTTTTAAAAAAGGAGCCTGAAAAAGAAGGAAGAGGGGCTGGCTTGTAGGCCTTACCCACGGTTTAGCTTTATTAGCCGTGTGGCTTTAGGTGAATAATTTAGTCTCCATGCCTGTTACTTCACATATAAATGAGATTAAAAACTATTTCACTGCCTTCTTCACTGTATAGAAAAGTATGTTGTAAACTGGCTGGTTCTATAGAATTGACAGCTTTCTTATTTTATATAATTTATGAAAATATAATCAGATTATTTGGATTTACAGGAGAAATACATTACACCAAATATAACTAAATATATCAAGTTTCATATTTCTGTTCAGATAGCTATCACAAGGTTAGGTGAACAAGTATTTCTTTAGTTATTACCTAATGATCTAGTTTCATTTTAGCATCTAATGATCTAGTTTCATTCTAGCATATCACAGAAGCACACAGTCACTTACCTACTACAGCCCCTTTAGTAATACCTAAAGGATATCTTTTCTTTTACTGTTCTCTTTTAGCACTCACAGGATGTCCACACCTGATATCCTTCAGCCATCCAATAGGGGAAACCCATTAGCAGAGACTCATTAAAGTCAGCCAGCAGATGTAAGTAGACCACTCTGGATGTGTTTTCTCTAACCAGATGTCCACTCAAGCTAACCTGCCAAACCAAACTGTAGGTCTTGAATTATCATGATCCTTTGGAACAATAAGAGAATTTAAACTTCATTACTGATAAAATAATTTTTTAATATTTTTTTATTTATTTATTTGACAGAGAGAGACACAGCGAGAGCAGGAACACAAGCGGGGGAGTGGGAGAGAGAGAAGCAGGCTTCCCGTGGAGCAGGGAGCCCGATGCAGGGCTCAATCCCAGGACCCTGGGATCATGACCTGAGCCGAAGGCAGACACTTAATGACTAAGCCACCCAGGCGCCCCCTGATAAAGTATTTTAAAACTAATTTTTATCATCATTAATCTTCCCCAAATGATAAATGAATAAACAAATGTTCTATCTAATTCAGGATACATTTTAGGACCACATATTTCAACTGATTGTTGTGGAGCAACAATCCAGCAGACTCTAAGCCTCGTGTAGGTGATGGCCTGGTGAGACCAAAGAAAAGACCCCCAGACAGCAATCGAGCCATAGGTTAATTGGGGGAACTTATATACAGGAACTCCAGGAGCAACTGACTAGACAAGGCATCCCCTGCTGGGGTCTACTTGCAGTAAATTTTAATATCATAGCAACTTAACCTAGTAACTCTCAGTGGCCCATCCCCCACCTCGCATGACCAGCATTTCCAAGGAGAGTAAAGCCTGCCACCTGGACACTCTTTGTTAGAAGAGAGATGCTCTGGGTTGGCCACCTAGGGAGCCCTGACCTTGAACACTGAACATGTTCTTCTGTACATTATGCTTGATGGGAATATAGAGGGAGGACAGGGTTTTTACATTTTCAAGATAGTGATTAACAGGGGCATTCAAGATATGCTTGCACAAACTCACTTTCCAGCATATACCATAGAGTTGTTACTTCTCTGAAGTCATTGCCCCCCTAACTTTTCATTGTGGATTTCAGATAGAAAAGTTGAAAGGATAGTACAGTGGTCACCAATGTACACACCACTTAGATTCAAACTTTGCTTTTATTTTGCCCAGTTTATCATGTATATATTATGTACCACATTTTTTTTAATAAACTATTTGAAAGTAAACTTCAGACACCATGATATTTTATCCCTAAATACTCCAGCCATGCATCTCCTAAAAAAGTTACTTTTCCTACTCAGCTGCAATTTCATTATCATTTAAGAAAACTAACATTTTGGGCACCTGGGTGGCTCAGTTGGTTAAGCGACTGCCTTCGGCTCAGGTCATGATCCTGGAGTCCCGGGATCGAGTCCTGCATCGGGCTCCCTGCTCGGCGGGGAGTCTGCTTCTCCCTCTGACCCTCCTCCCTCTCATGCTCTCTGTCTCTCATTCTCTCTGTCTCAAATAAATAAATAAAATCTTTAAAAAAAAAGAGAGAAAATTCTCAAAAAAAAAAAGAAAACTAACATTTTTCCTAATATTTCCTAATATTCTATATCAAATTTCCTCAAACATAAAATGCCTTTTATATATTTTTTGCCTTCCTAATTTTGCATAGAATTATACCTTTTATATTAAAAAAAAAAAGAAAAAAATCCAAGGATTTTTTTACATATCCTTGGGTTTACATATTGCATTTGGTTGCTATGTTTTTTATTTTCTTTTACTTTAGAATGGCCGCCCCCTCCTTACTTTTTTTTAATGACATTGACTTCTTGAAGAGTTCAGGCCAGAGGTTATTGTAAACTGGAGGTAAAAGATTTATTTAGATTCAGGTAATTTTGGTGCATATTAGGACAGGTTATTCCACTCTAAGTAATTTAAGGTTGATCCTTTGGTTAAGGTGGTAACCTCCTGATAGATGTACTATAAAGGCACATTTTCTCCTTTGTATGATGTAAATATTCTACCTTGTAACAACCTTTCCATACTACTTTAGGCAGACTCCAATAATGCCTTGCCTCAGCCAATTATTTCATGGAGGATTGCAAAACGTTGATTTCTAATTCTATTCCTTCTTCTGTATTTTTTAGCTGTCTTTTTTTGTAAAAAAAAAAAAAAAAAAAAAGCTTTCTATTATCATTTTGAACAGAGATATCTTTCCTCCCCAAAAGACAAAGTAAATGATTAATTCCTTCCCTTTAATTAGCAATTTAGTGGAAGATTTACCTCCAACGGTGGCAAATAAGTTTTATTCTTTTGATTAGTGACTATTGGGTTCATAGATTTTAATTTGTTCAGTGCTTTACAATCAATTAGAGTCATTATTCTTTTTGATAATCAAATTATCACAAATTTGGCTAGTGGGAATCCCAGCAAATTCAGTCTTTGAGTGTTTTCTTGTTTTCTGAAATGAGACATCCTAGGTTCATCTGCTCCAGACTGACAATTACCTTTTTCTCCAAGGAGCCCTGGTTCCTTCTGGTGGGGAAACTAGGTATGGTCCTCACTACTGGAGTGTCATTCCTTCATGGGCCACTTCAGTGAGCAGACGTAGGAAACATACATTAAAAATTATAAATTTGTATTGAAATTTCTAATCTCTTTTATTTTCTTCCAAATATTCTGTTCTGAAAATTTTGGATCCTAATAACATTATCATGTTTACTTTTTTATCCTAAAATATTTATAAAACAGTTTCAAATTAGCTAGACAAATAAAACTAATAGCAATGAAACTAGTGAGTTCAGTTTTTCTCCCAGAGTGAAAGGTAACTCAGAATTATTTTTTCCTCTGTGATTATGTTATCAGATTTATAGTTTTATTTTAGTTTATTTTCAGTTATGTGTTTTGCTTCCTCTTTGAATTTATTCAAGTTTTGAATATATAAAACATGTCTTGTTTTTCTCCCTCCTTATTTATCCATATACATTGTACCGAACCTTGATTCTTTTCCCTTAAAAATGTGTTCTAGAGGGGTACCTCAGTGGCTCAGTTGGTTAAGCATCTAACTCTTGGTTTCATCTCAGTTCATGATCTCAGGGTCATGAGATCAAGCCCCACATCAGGCTCCACACTCAGAGAGATTCTCTCTCTCCTCTCCTTCTTCCCATTCCCTTTCTCTTTTCTCTCTCTCTCTCAAATAAATAAATAAATCTTAAAAAAATGTGTTCTAGAGATCACTCAAACCACTTCATAGGAATATTTTATTCTTTTTTTTATGACTTTGAGAACGCCATTCTGTGAATAATCCATACTTTATTCAACCAGTGATTAACACTGGATTTATTTCTAGTCTTTTGCTCCTAAAAAGAATGCCTGTGATATATATAACGCATATTTGTGGTGGTGTATTTTCAGGGTGAGCGACAGTAACTTTAAGCAAAGTCAAAAGACAACTGACAACTTGGGGGATAACAACTGCACTGTGCATTACACATATAATTTTAACCTTTGATATATAAAATAGAGCTCTTAAAAGCTGAAAATTAAAAGTAACTCCCCCCTCCAAAATTGATGAAAAGTGGACAAAAATATGAATAAGCAATTCATAAGGAAAGAAAGACAAATGAACTTAAACATATTTTACAATGTTCAGTTTCCCTTTTGATAAAAGAAAGAAGATTAAAATGTGTAAGTTTGACAATATACTCTTTGGAGCAACTGTGAAAAAAAGACTCTCATGCCTTGACAGTAAGAATGCAAAGGTATACAACCCCTGTAAAAGGGAATTTGGGAAATTTTTAATCATTCTGAACCAATGTGTGTTAGGTATCCCTCATGTAAACAGCATCAAATTGAGCTTTGTTTGGGGAGCTGTCTAAAAGCCCTTGTTATTTTATTAAGCAAATTAAGTTCACTTTCATTTATTCACAGACTTCATGCATTTAGCTTCATTTCTATTCTGTTATTTTATTTTGAATATTTTGAGTGTATTATATTTGTTGTGTTTTTCACTATCGGTTCTTTTTCTTTGTGTTTTAAGACTTGCTTTACTTGGTATTTTAAAACATATATACGTTTGTTTAAATGACTTTTACTAATCACTTCATATAATGCCCCTAACTCACCTTTTTTATTACTTAGTCTGATACTACTCCATTTGTTAGCATTAAATGGTATCTTTATTCTCTTACACTACCCATGCAGCATTCATTGAGTTTCTTATACTTTCCCTTTGCCTCTTTCCCTTCTTCTCCCAGTTTTAAGTTGTGTTATTTCCTTTCTTCAAGAGCATATGACATTTAGTCCACCCTCAGAACCACTTTTGTTTTAGGCTTATATTTATGGTAGAACATATTTGATACCCCACAGTTCTCATGTCCATTTCCCCAATAATCATTTGGTTGAATCAAGCTCATTCTACAGTTAATTCCTTAGGGAAGGCTTATGATTAGAATATTCTTGTCAACTTTAAACCAATTTTTCTATAGCCTTGATACTATAAGATGAATTTGCCTGGACATAAAATCCCCGGCTCTTTATTTTCTTTCCTGGATTTAAAATGTTGCTCTTTTATGTTTACTTTGTATGTTCCTTTTGAAAAGTCTTATGCCAAATGGATTATTTCCTTTGTAGATTATTTGGATTTTTATTGTTTGTTTTTGGTTTGGATGCACAGAGAAATTTATTTAAGTTTACTTATCTTTTGATTTTACTAGACTACATCTCAGAATGGACCAATAGGTCTTATCTATCTGAATACATCTATTCAGATCTTATTTCATTTCTTTAATTGTATTGAGAGATTTTCTTTAAATATCCTTTTAAATATTTGTTCTGTCATCATTGTTCTATTCTTTGGCCACTCCAGTTATATACACATTGGATCTTCTTTGCCTATTTTCTCGATTAGTAACTTTTTATTTGATCCCTGTTATCTTTTCTCTTATGTTACACTTAAGCCCTTTTTACTGGACTCTTATCTCCTTGATTGCATTGCTATTTTCTGTGCCACTTATTGTAATTTAATCATATGCTATTCTCCCCTGGTCATTTAATCAATACATTAATAATTAATTTAATATAGTTTGGTTTATATTCTAATATATTTTTATCTTTTTTCATGTTTTTCTTCAGTTTGACTATTTCCCTGTTTATGTCTTCCTGTTTTTTCATTTCTATTTTGATTTATCTAATTACATTTAATTTACAGTGTTGCATTATAGGTTTTTTTTTTTCATACCTTCTTTTGGTTGTTGTTACTCCTAGTGTTTTGTTCTCATGTTGTGTTTTCTTCTTATATAAATTCCACATGGATATTAAATTCTCTTTATTTAAATTCATAATTAGTCTTTATTGGAATAGTAGGCATTCCAAAGGGAGAGGTTTGTATGACTTATTTGGTTTCTTAGTTTAAGAGCATCTTCTTCTGTTGCTATAGTAAAGTACAATTTCTTCAATTAAAAATAGCATCTTTTTTGTTGATTTATTTCTGCATTCTTCTTGGTGTCTTGTTTTACTATGGATTTTACCTACCATTGCCTCCTCTTTCCCTTTACTGCCATCTCTTCAAGAGGTACCTCCTCTTTCCAAGTTGGCGCCCTTTTCTACAGAAGTGTTATTTTTTAGTACCATTCAGTCTGATCAATAATTTCAAAACTTTTCTGTTGCACACCCTAGGAACCAGTACTCAATTCTACCAGATTGCAGAATTGTTCTTGAAGTTTTTCAGACTCAGGGTCTGACCCTTTCCTTCTACGAATGGACTCTGATTGGCGTTATCTGTGTGCTTTAGTAGAACCTCACTGAACTCTCCTATCTTCAACACAGTTGCTACCTTTTTGCCAAATGGGCTCCAGAGATCACTCCGCTGGTTTAGACCATTCAGTTTTCTTCTTACCTGGGAATTTAATTTCCCAGTATTCTCTTCTCTCAGTTCCGGTGTAGTCATGGGGTATGGCTTATTGAAAGATTGGAGAGATTATAAGTTAGACTTCTGCTGTTATACTAAGGATTCCATACTCCCGAGTCTCTTTTAACGTAGCTCAAACTCTCTTCCTTTTTTTTTTTTTTTTTGAATCAGCGTTCACCTGTTGAAGAAACCAGAGCAGCTATCATGAAGAATGCAAATACTTTATGGAATGATCTGATTATTTTTATTGTTTTGTTTGGCTTCTTTCTGAACCACAAGAAAATTCCTCAGGGCCTTTCATCTCACTGTATGAATAGCTTCACACCTTCTCTCTTATCCCCTCCCAGTAGCAAAAAACAATTCCTTCACTTCTTTATATAGAGCAGCTTAACTATTTTTGGGTTGTTGTCCAATTTATAGCTATGTCCTGGGATTTCAACTTTTGCATGAAAGGGTTTATTTATAAATATATTATAAATCTTGAGAGGAGTCAGTTCTCTTCATGAGATAATTTTGGTAGCAGCTTCTTTTTTATTTATTTTTTTAAAAAAGATTTTATTTATTTATTCATGAGAGACAGAGAGAGAGGCAGAGGGAGAAGCAGGCTCCCAAGGAGCAGGGAGCCTGATGCGGGACCCAATCCCAGGACCCTGGGATCATGACCTGAGCCGAAGGCAGACGCCCAACTATCTGAGCCACCCAGGCGCCCGGTAGCAGCTTCTTAATAATAATAATAGCTAACATTTATAGTTATGTTTTGTCATTGTCATTGGTGGTGGTGGTGGTGGTGGTAGTAACTATTGTTAGTGCCAAGCCTATCCAAGTGCTTTATAAATATATTCCTAACACCTCTATCAAACAGGTTATATTATATCATTTAATAATTTAAAAAAATGAAGCACAGAAAAGTTAAGTGATTTGTGCAAAGTTATGGAGGAAGTTAAATGGGAGGAATGGGGCAAGATTTAATTTTAGGCACTGTGGTTTTCCAGTTCTTCCCAACTTAGCCACTGGCATGTACTCCCACTTCACAACGTTCTCTTTGTTACACAAGGATTACAAATCACTTTTTAGGATATGTATGTGTACTGAGAAGAGAAGGATATAACAGACATATACCAATCTGATTTAAGCAAGCAAACTGTCAGGATCACATGTATATTAGTATAAGTTTAGAAAATCATCTTTAGGGGCACCTGGGTGGCTCAGATGGTTAAGCATTTGCCTTCGGCTCAGGTCATGATCCCAGGGTCCTGGGATCAAGCCCTACATCAGGCTCCCTGCTCAGTGGGGAGTCTGCTCCTCCCTCTCCCTCTGCCTCTCCACCAGCTTGTGTGCTCTCTCTCTCAAGTGAATAAATAAAATCTTTAAAAAACTTATCTTTAATGATTTGGGTACAAAGGTATTATAAGATGGCTAATATTCGGGGCGCCTGGGTGGCTCAGTCGGTTAAGCGTCTGCCTTCGGCTCAGGTCATGATCCCAGAGTCCTGGGATCGAGCCCCACATCGGGCTCCTGGCTCAGCGAGGAGCCTGCTTCTCCCTCTCCCTCTGCCTCTCTCCCTGCTCATGCTCTCTCTCTGTCTCTGTATCTCTGTGTCTCAAATGAATAAATAAAATCTTTAAAAAAAAAAAAGATGGCTAATATTCTTTAAGCAGAGATACAAATTAAAAAATTAAAAATGACGATAATAAAAGTCTAAGCCAGGGAAAAAGAACAGACAGAATAAAACTTTAAAGAACTAAATAAGATAAAATATAAAGATATTTAGCAATCAGAGAAGCCTGTGGACCCAGGCAGTCTGTGAGAGTGCAGATGGTTTTGTGAGGCCCATGTGACATTTTCCAGTGTCTCATTGGGAGCTATATTAGAGTGAGAAGGTTAGAGCTGAGAAGGACTCTGCTTGGCGTTCTAGTTTTGAATAAGGAAAGGGTTAAGGTATAGACGGGGAGAGGTAGGGGGCCCCTGCTGGGCTCTTAAACTATTCCTAGCAGGCAGAAGTGCTAAGCCAGAGTGAACAAGAGATAAGGAAACAGATCACCTGGCCTCAGGTGGTCGGGAGTATTTTTCTTTGGCAGCTACAGTGTATCATAGGAAATGGCTAACCCTCAAAGAAGTAAGTCATTAAGGGTGCTACCGGTAGTCCGTGCTCAAACCAAGACGGCACAAGAAACTCAAGTCCACAAGTTTCCTAGTCAATTCTCAATAGAAGTGCCACTAAAAGCCCTCAGTGGCAACCCATTCAGGACCAGTCTCACTCTAGAGAGCTTTTGCTGTCTCCAGGCTTCATAAAACTCTATCGCTTACTCACGCTCCTTTGTCTGCGAGATTCATTCTTCGACTCCGTGAGACAAGAACCCTGCGTTTCCCTAACAGTTTCGCCCAGTTTGACCAGGCAAATTACTTAAATTCTCTGTGCCTGAGTTCCCTAATCTGTAAACCAGTCAAATAACAGGATTTGCCTGAGATAGAGGAACTGAGAGTTAGTGCATACAGAACACTCAGAAGCATAACTGGTCCTAATAAACAATCAGTGATGGCTACTATCATTTTTGGAGTCCATTCAGTTTATCAGGATGCCGACTCAATGTCAAACTCACTTTCATCTTTGGTTTCATGGTCCAGGCATCCACATCCCCTCAAATCCTGCTGTGCCCTGCTAAGGAAAAGTTGTGAAACTAAACAGAAAAATAAAAAATGTTACAAGTACACTTCTGCTAAGGTCAGCACCATCTCATTACTGAACTTAAACATACCAGCCCCTGGCTCTATTTTCCCAACCAGAAAGTTCTCCTTTCTTTCTTTTGCCTAGTTCTATGCTGTGTATGTTTGCAGACTTTGCTCAAGACCCATGACATTTTCCAGCATCCCGTTGCCCTTGTGGATATCCCTGCCCCTGCAATGCCGACTCTCAGAATTTGTTGTATGTGATCTAGAATTTAATAACACACTCTACTGTCTTTTCTCATCTTTTTTATTTTATGTGTGTATTTCTGCTACCATTTCATGTATGTACATCTATTCTCTGCATTTGGAAAATAAACTCGGTGAGGTCAGAGACACTTCAAACTTGTTTACAAACCCTACAGTAGGGGTGAAATGCCACATACTTGTAGGTGTTTGGGAAATGACATTTATTTGTTCTTTTTTTTCCCCTAGTTTGACTAGAATCAGAAAAAGCTTAGAAATCTGGTACTCAGCTAGCCCTCCAATGCCTTCGTATTAGACTGAGCTCATCCCCTTGGCAGTTTTGCAGTTCAGGATGTGTGATGTGTGAGGCCGAGATGTGGATGCTCTCTGAAGAGCCAGTCTGAGATTTTCTGCAAAATCAACAGGGTGATGGTGTTTAGCAGCACATTTTCTTTTTGACGCCACTGAGGAGTTGCTTCACTCCTGGCCCTGACTTTTGGTGTCATTTGAGAACTAACTCACAACCCCATTCTTTTCAGGATATTGGTTCATCCCGGATCCTGAAAATGATTTTGAGCTTCCAGATGCCAGTTCTTCAGGACTGAAACTCTCGTCCTGCACATCCTGGACTATAAAAGAGAACTTCCTTAGACAGGATTTTTTTTGTTGTAGTTGCAGTTATTATTTACAATGTAAGTTTTGTATAGAAAGAAGTACGCTTTCCTTAAATAAGGAGAACATAAATCAAGCTCAGATTTTATAGTGTTATTGACTACCATTCAGTTGTAATAGCCAACTCTACCCATATGGCCATTTGGGGGAAAGAAAAAGAGTGTGTGTGTATGTGTATGTGTGTGTATGTGTGCACGTACCCATGCCCGGGGTTGGGGACCAGGGTGTATAGCAAAACTCAGAACTCAGCACGTCTAGTTATCAAGTTCAGGTTGCAGGTTGATGGACTCAAACATACCAAGTTTCTTAAGTCTGTGCCCCAGTGCCCCCTCTGAGCAGATGTTATTCTTAAATAAAATGAAACACTACAAGCCTGAAGCAAAATGTAACAGATTTGCCAGCTGTGCGCATACTGTTACAGATTGAACTTGGGACCAAAACTGTTACATAGTATAATTTATGACAACTCAAGAGAATTGTTTTGACAAACAAGGGTCTTATTAAAAAAATAAGCAGGTGCAAAGATCTCTCATCTCAGTAGAGTGCAAACATTTTACAATGCTTTTTCCCCCTCTCCCAACCATGTCAGTTTAGATTTGGTCAGGGTAGAGAATGTTTTTTTTTTTTTTAATAGGAACAAGTAGGACTTAGACATATAGAAGATATATATATCTTTATAGATAGATAGATCTTTGTCTTTATATGTATATATCTTTATATACATATATATCTTTATATAAATAATTGCTCGTAGTTGTAATTGCTATATATATATCTTTCTGGGAACCACAGCCTCATTTTAAATGGTGCCAGGAAAAATGATAAGGATTAAAAGCTTGATTATTTCCCACTGTCCTTGACTGTGAATTATTGTCAGTTTGGATAAATAGAATATATTTAGGCAGCTGAGCTGTACATGTCACTAAGTATTTTTTAAAGAACCTGTAAACTGTATTTGCAATAATCTTGAACTTAGGGGTGAGGCTATATAACTGGAAACAGATTGTAGAGCAATTATATGAATGATTCTGATAGTTTTCATCAATTATTTGGGTAGTTCATATACTGGTAGACATGTATTCAGTATATTAAAACTAGCTCTGGAGTGAAAATGTTGCTTTAGGAAATTGAACACAATTTTATTTATTGCCTACTATGATATTGCTACTGAGTGAAGCACAAGGAACACAAAATTTTAAAAGATGCCACCTTTCTCTAAGTGGGCCTTTCTCTAAATGGCTCAGTGTCTGTCGGGTTATTTGTGTAAGCCCTCCATTCCACATTTCATATGCAGATCTTCCGTGACTTACCCTCGGGTTATGCCCTGATAAACCCATCATAAGTTGAAAATAGTATAAGCTGAAAATGCATCTAATAAACCTAACCTACCAAACATCATAGCTTAGCCTAGCCTACCTTAAGCAAGCTTAGAGCACTTACATTAACCTGTCATTGGGCAAGATCACCTAACACAAAGCCGGGTTTATAATAAAGCATTGACTATCTCATGTAATGTACTGACTAATGCACTGAAAGTGAAGAACAGGATGGTGTTGGGTACAGACAGTCGTTAGTGTACCAACTGTTTACCCTCGT